GAGATCAGCGAGGATCAAGATTATGGTGATTGGGAAAACATACTGCCGAGAGACTGTTACACAAAGCAGCTGTTGTTGGGAAGCTTTTAATTTATCTTTGCAAATCGGATTGTTATGACGACCAAGCTAGTTCATTCCAAAAAGACTTTATCTCTGTTATAAGAAATAGAATCTTAATTCTGATCTCAGAGAACGGAATCCATTTCTATTTTAAGAAACTCTATCGAATTTCTTTTTAGCAAAAAGAAATATAATCATTTGAAAAAAAAAACGAGTCAGTGTTTTGTTTTAGAAACCTATTGGTATTTTTTCATTTCCTACTCCTTTTAGTCGAAGTCAGCTTCTAGTAGATAAGTTAATATCAAGCATTTAAAAGCATTATCCTGTCAGTATAGATTGTTTTTATATCTGATCATTGAAGATTCCGTTTATTATTAATAAAATGACATAGAACAATCCGTTACAGTACATTTTTTATACAAACACTAGTAGTAGAGCCCGGCGTTGCCCGGGGATGAAACAGTAAGAGATAGATCAAGTATCGACCATCATAAAGACTGAAAAATAAAATTGACAAAGATTATTGTTTAAGGTTGACGGACACGCATGTCTTAATTAGTTTTCTTTTGTTTGTTTTTTTTTTGTTTTGTTTTTTACGAATTGGTCAAACCCAAATTGAAACAAAAACATCGTTTTCAATCGTTATGAGTCTACAGATTGAATAGAATTTTATTACAAACAATTGTCTTTTAAATGGAATTTTTAAAGCATTCTAAATGTAAAAATAAAGAAAAAATTGTGCAAGACAATAAGAAACACTACCTGCCAAAAAAAAAAGTGAAGTTTTGTTGAAATCGGTTGAAAAATGTAGGAAATCCGATCCGATTTATAAACGAACACACACACACACACACACACACACACACACACACACACACACACACACACACACACAACCAACCTGGGTTTTATAATAAGTATAACTCGATATGAGTTGTCCCCTTTTCATTAATGCCTCTTAATCTTTTTTTCAAATTGATTTCGAGCAAAAACAATTGTGTTTTTCTAATTTTTGGCGCTATCAGAACCACCGCAAGGTAATTTTACGTAGTCTTGTGAAGTTATGTTGAAATCGGTTGAAAAATGTAGGAAATCCGATCCAATATATAAACGTACAGCCACACACCTACACACACCCACACACACACATACACACACACACACACACACACACACACACACACACAACCTGGGTTTTATAATAAGTATGATTAGTTGGAATTATCGTAGTCATGTACTTTATACGAGGTCTGATCAAAAAGTGTAGCCAGTTTCTTCTGGCTTGCAATAAAGCTCCCTAATCTATTTCCATCCAACCTTCAAAGTCAAACAACACGTGTCTCCTGTTCGCCCCCTCACTCACTTTTTCTCTCTCTCTTCTGGAAGCATTTTTTTTTTCTAGATTTCGCGACAGTTCCAATTTACATAAGTGGAAAAGAGAGTCTCTTGAAAGTAACCGACTCTGAGATTTTTTATTTTATTTTTTAAATATGCGACTCGTAAAGCCGCCATTTTCTTTTGTGAGACATATCCGAATCCGTTTTCGTCGAGGAGGTAAGTCATTTTCTCTAGTGTCACGAAAGGTATCTGGTCTATTGCTATAGTAAATGAGCTACGTCTGCAGAGTGGAGCTGTTTTCCTTAGATTGACTCCGGACTCTTTCGGGCAGGCAGACTAAGTTCTCGCGCGCTTCCGTTGTTCATAGTCGTGCTCGGAAGGACACTATGCAATGTATGGTCGTCTCACCACACGGCAGAGATTCCATCGGTGTTTATGATTTATGCAGCGGTTTTAAGACAAGGAAAAAACATTCCTCAGGTCTGACAACCACAACATTCCTTAGATCACGCCCCTAGCGTATTTTCCTCTTCAAAAGTTCTATTCCACTTGAAAGGATTAGGATTTCAAGACGTCGAGGAAATCCAAGAAAATGCGACGGGGCAACTACTCGCTACCCCCCCAAAAATGAAGTTTCAAGAATGTCACCATCAGTTAAAACGACGCTGAATAGATTTTGTGGCTTCAGGAAGGGGCAACTTCAAATGAGATTAAATGCCTATATGGTATCTGTTGTACGACTATATTTATAGTACGAGCCCATTTTTGATCCAACTCTTCAATTATTTGATTTGTTATTTATGTTTTATCAACCTATTCGAGGTTATTTATAACCGAAACATATTTTCGTAGTGTAAGAATGTTTTTGCGATAATAATGAGTTTCTGATACAAGTTTTAAAATTTAACCCATAGTCGGGAGGAGAAGAGGTGCATTCAAAGTTATTTGCAAGTAAGTGAATATAACAAACCGGACTGGATTTCGAACTCGGTTCTCCGAGTTCTCATTCCTAGTCTTTGTCCATTACACCACCGACACATCTTCCTGCACCTAGTTTTCCCCAGTGGTCACCCGTATAGGCACTGACCAGATTTAATGTTGCTTAACTTCGGTGATCGGATGAGAACCCCTGTTTCAAGGTGATCTATAGTAAGTTCATTAGCAAAAAATTCACATTCGATATGTTTTCTTTCTTCTCACATGTGCTATATTAAAATTATTAACAATTTGTTTACATTATAGATACATATCCATATTTTCCCAGTAAAGCCTGGCTTAGTTCCTCCTTCCAAAGTATTGCTATAGTACCATCATGTGCAATTTCTATTCTAGGATTCGGTAAAATTCTGCAGCTGATTGGTATTCATATCTGCACTACGTAACTCACAAATTTCTTGTCTCCCTTTTGCTGACAACCATGCTTTTTGACTTTTTTTTTTACAGATATTGATTAAGATTTTCTATAATACTTTTAAGGTCCAAGAGCAACTCAATGTATGGGATTACTAAATCAGTCAGTATAAGAACGTAAGAAGAACGTATCATGAGAACATAAGTGCAGATTATTGAAACTAATAGGACAGATAATGGTTACCACAAGACTTGAAGGGTGTAGCGATAAGGTAAATATCCTCTCGGAAGTCTATTCCACAAAGCAGCTAATACAAATAGCACTTTTCTTACAAATGGAATACGAAGAGAATTTGGAGTATTCGTTCCAGAATATGTGGTATGCCGAATCCTTTTTTAAAAGATTTAAATGGTGGAACTAAGTAGGTCATGAGAAAACATTCCAGAGAAATAGCAATCAAGTTGAGATCGGCTTGCGACGTTTCGCCTGTGATAAAGGGTTTGTAACATGGGAAAAAATCATCTACTACAAAGCCGCGTACAGGGCTTTGAAGTCTAGCAGGCCTGGAAATGGTGGATTGTGCAGCTCTGGTCGATATATAGCAAGCATGCTCCATTTTTTTCTAACCTTCCCCCCACTGTTAAAAATAAAGCATGGCAGAGGGCGTTCGTGTACTTTCTGGAAGAGTGGTCTATTCATTTATTATTTGAATATCGTCTCCGTGTAGATTAAGTTTTCCCAAACATAGTTCTTCCTGTTGCATGTTATCGACTGATTTTTTTAGTCTATGGAACGCAAGTATAGATATTTCTTACTGTTCGCTCCGAGAACATTCTAACCTTGAATACTGCATTTCGTTTCATGCTCGATTTTCTTGAACAGCCTTATATGGTTCGTGTCCTATTTACCGTCTGATTCCTTCTCGTAATTTCTTCATTAGAATCATTATTATTAATCATGGGTCTTACCGAGTTGATTGGTCGATGGATTTCATATTCATTAACAACTGGTTTCTTTCCAATGCTACGAAGATTGATCTACTTGCGTTCTCCCGTATTTCACTATTGTTATATAATTCGCTTATTATTTCGGTAACTTTAAGGCCTGTCTGAATAGCTAAAGATGTCTTCCAGTTGTTAAGCAAGTTCTACAGACAGATGCTAAGAATACCATGAATTACGCGTTTAAGGACGAGAGGCGGTTTTAGAGCAAATGGGACCTAGAAAAACACATATACTTAACAGTAGAAATTTCTGGGAAACAATATGAGAAAGGACGGCTTGGAAAATTTAATCGTCAAAGGGCAGAATGTTGCTTAGATCTACAAATGAGATGAAGTAATGGAGGTCTGCTATTGCCTTCCGCCTGAAGGAACACGATACATTAATGATAATGTTAAGCATTATTCTACAATATTCTGCAAATATTTTCATAGTAATTGTTCTGATGGACAGGCTTTTTGGTGCATAGAATTTATGAATTTAAGCGCAGTACAAGATTGGCCGCTAGTCTCATTGTTTTCCAGTTGAAATCGTTAGACGTAACCTTAAGTTCTATGGTAACATTTTCACACTTCTCGCTTGAGTAACTCTTATCCTGCTTCTTGCTTTCCACTCAACTTTGACATTCAAAAATATAAAAGAAATGTCAATCGTTATCTTCAGTCTTTTCTCATTCCTTCTGTTTTACTATTCTCCATCCTTAATAACATTTCTTTTTTCTCTCACATTCAGTAATTTTTTGCGGCGTAGTGGCTTTATAACCTTGTTAAGCGTTAAATTATTTTTAAAAATTAGACTACTGCCTAAAACTCTCAACATTGAATTGTTTTACAACATGTAATTAAAGAAAAATAAAAAGCAACTCATAAAAACGGAAAAAAATGGTAGATAATTAGAAGATATTTTTCAAATGACAATACGGACTTAGTATTATTAAATTTCGTTAAAGAAATGAAACGATGAACTAAATAAGAGATAACGAATTTTAAAGAATAGAACGCCATAAATGCCCACTTACGACAATCTCGTGCCGTTCACTATTAATAAGAATTGGCTATATCGTGTGTCGCATTATTTCTTCACTTCGTTCTTGACTTTATTTCTCTTTTATTATATTGTCAACACTTAAGCATCTTAAATCCTACCAGCGCCAAGGGTGAGAACAGACGACAACACGCGAGACTTGATTTACCAGTTAACAAAGAGAAGATTTTGCGTGAACGACTTTTGAAAAGATTAAAGCAATTTTTTTAGTCTTCACCTACAAACGGAGGTTGAAAAAGGCAGAGAAACGCGAAAGAAGCCTGTATGTGAAAAAAGGAGAATGGATGGAAAAAAAAATGTTCAGATGAATTAATAAAAAGTTGAGAGGTGAGAGATAGAAAGAGAGTTAAAAGGAAACAGTAACAGGAAGTATGTATTAATAGGAAGAAAATTGAATTAAACAAAGAAAGAAAGAAAGAAAGAAAGAAAGAAAGAAAAGTAATGATAAGAAAGAAAGTGATAAAGAAATAAACAGAGGAGAAACAAAGAAGAAAGAGAGCGTGTAAACGAGAAAAGATAAAGTTAAAAATAAATAGAGAAAGCAAGAAAAAGGGAAAATGTAAAATCGAAAGAAAGATAATATAGATAGGTATAAAAAAAGGATGTAAACGAGAAAAAGTAAAGTTAAAAAAGAAAGAAAGCAGGAAAACGAGGGAAGAAAGAAAGAAAGAAAGAAAGAAAGAATGAAAGAAAGAATGAACGAAGACAACACTTGAAGGAAGGTAACATAGAAAGAAGAGATAAAATAATGATAGGAAAGAAAGTGAAGCTAACAAGGGAGAAAGAAAGAAAGAAAGAAAGAAAGAAAGAAAGAAAGAAAGAAAGGGAGCAGGTAAATAAGAAAAGGTAAAGGTAAAAAAAGAAAGAAAGAAAAAGAGAAAGAAAGCAATAAAAGAAATAGTGAAGAAAAGAAGAAAGCACTTGAAGTAAAGTAACCTGTCTTCTCGCTTTCTTTCACTATCTTTTGTAGGTTGTAGAATTATATTTGGATATGGGGGTGTAATTACTTTGTTTCTAAAACAAAAACATAATAGGTTTCAACAGCTGCTGATGTTTTTAACATGAATTGTCAAATTAGCATGTTCTTTTTTTAATTTTAAAGACGTACTAATTGCACCCACATGTTTAAGCAAAAATTTTACAACCTACAGAAGATATTGAAGGGAAACGAGAAGAAAGGACTAAACATCAATTTCAAGAAGACGTTGTCAGAAAAAAAGAACGTCCCAACATGAAAGTTAGAAATTGGAGACACAAAAATCAAACAAGTAGCAAAATTTAAATATATGGGAAGTGTTTTAACAGAGGACGGAAAGTGCAACACGGAAATCCAAAGGTGCATTGGGATATCAAGATGCCTTCCAAAAGCTAAGCAAAGTATGAAGAAACAGCAACATATCATTAGAAAGAAAGAAAACAGGACTGAAATCTTTAGTAATAAGTATGACAGCGAATGTTGAACAATCACTTTGTGCATAAAGAAGGGAATTGAAGACATGTCGTACTACAGAAGGATTCTGGGAATACCATGGATCGAACACGTGAGGAACGTCTCGCCTGGCACGGTGAACTCGATCAACTTGCGTTTCTTTCCTTTACGCTCCGCTTGTTTTGGCGGTGCCATTTACTTCCGGTTCCTATTTAAATTCTCTCCCTTGTTAACGAATGATTATCTCCCTTTGATGTATTTGAAAATCTTTTTCTCACCACAGGCAGTTCTTTAATTTATTTCGGGCACTATTTCTTTTCTGTCAAAGGCACGGTGCAATGAAACGTAATCCTTACTTAATAATAAAATTAAATATGCTATTAAGTAAGGATTACGTTTCATTGCACCGTGCCTTTGACAGCAATGACGAAGTTTTATAGGAAATGAAAACGAAAAGGACACTATTACTTAACATCAGAAAAAACAGTTATAATTTCTAGGTCAAGAATGAGGAAAGGGGCTTGCAAAATTTGACACTCACAAATAGACTGAAGGCAAGAGGGAAAGAGGAAAGCAACACATCACCTAACAAGCGAGCTTGTGTAAATGGATGGGCCACAACGTCAATGGAGATGACTATGCCCACTTGCTGTGGTAGTTACGAATGTGTATCAAGACCAAACGAACAATAAAAACTGACGAAATGGTTTCTTTCATCAGGACAATGCTCCAACACACGGGTTCTTAATTTCAATGTCTGCTTTGCGTCACTGTGGCTTTGAACTGGTTGAACATCCTCCATATTCTCCTGATTTGATTATCAACTGTTCCCCACGATGGAAAACCACTGAGTTTAGAACCAGTATCGTAGTAATGATGACATGATATTTGCTGCTGATGACTTTTTTGACCAACAGGACGAACAGTCAGAAGTCAGTGTAAATGGAAATAAACAATGCAGCTATTAATAAGAAAAGTTCAAATTAATGCATTCAAAAATTTCACAGCTCAAGCATCACTCTTTCATACTTAGTCTCTGGACTATTCAGCCTACCTTAATATTTTTCAGCGACATCTATGGTTAGTCTTAAAATAGCAATATTCAATGCAAGCGCTCATTGACGCAACGTGTTCTTTCTCTTCTGCCATAGCCAATACCTAGCTACGTAGAAATATAGGCTCACTCTCTCTTCCTCCTTCTCTTTCAAATTCTGTAAATCTCTCTGTATAACTAAACGCTCCAGCCTCACCATACCAGGCATCGCTGTTGTGTTTTCTGTGGGAAAGAAGGTTTTTAAAAGAATGGTGTTGCTAACCCCCAACTAAACCAGTTTTGAATTCTGAATTTCACTTCTGTTTGCCATTGAAGGCTAAAATAACCCAGCCTGTCCTATAAGTTAACCGTTAACTGCATAATACGTTTTTCAAGGGTATTTGTGCAAAAGTGAATATAACTAAAAAGGCTGGAATTCGAACCCTGTTCACAGATTTCCTCTTTCAAAACGCTAACCTTTACTCTGTCAAAATTTCCTGAGAAAAGCAGACTGATAGTTAAATAAATCCAAACGGTAATTTTTACAGAATTTCTTCCAGCACAGATGTTAAGATTTTTTAAAATTTTCAAACATACGGTTCTGGCGCAATTCAATCTTCTTACAAGATCACCTGGCACTTGGCAGTTTAATCAAAGCTGAATATCTTTCTTAGGCGCGCCTTTCTTCTTAAATCGGGCACGCCCCTAAATAGTTTACAACACATAAAGTTTTACTATTGTCATTGTCACATAAGAAGAAGCGAAGTCGACGCCGTACTTCTTCTCGTCATCATTGTTTTATCGAACAGAGAGGGGAACAAAAGTGGCTGGCAGGCAAAACTTGTTCAAACAGGAAAAGTAAGGGTAAATAATAGTTGTTTATGTTTGCCTGTGTTCGTGCAGTGTCCAACGCAGATGTTTCTTGGTAGTACCTCAAATGCATAACAATGGACGTTTGGATGTGAAAGTCGTGTGAATGGGCCTACATATAATGGTGTGTATAAAAGTATCACTAAATTCAAGAAAGAGAGTTTGGAAGGTAATTACGCTTAAACATAAAGTCTATAAAACAAGTGTAAGTTCAATTTAGTTAACTACTAGTTATTTAATTAACTACTAGTGTGTTAGAGAAGTAATGACTTCATGGCGGAAATGTACGTTAAATTTATCTAAATATTAATGTGTTCAAGAGTAGATGCGATAGGCAGCAATAAACTTCAGAACTCAAAATTGATCGCTGCCTTTAATTATTACATTAATAGTTAAGCCTAGCTTTTAACAGTTCAGCAATAATTCCTCTGCTGCCACTTAATTTAAAGACAATTTGATGTACTTAGATCCTTACTTTTCGTGCAATTATTTTTATTTCAGAGGTGACTTTCGTTGGATTTCGCAGTTAATTTTGATTATTTCCAACTTATTAAAAATTATCATACAAAAACAATTTGTCGAAAAACATACGTAAAAAATCGCCAAACAATCGCAGTAATAAAAAGTTGGGAATCCAAAATTTCAGGATTGCGGGTCCAGATCCGGCCGGAATGTTTTTAATTTGCTCATGAAGTCAGCCTGATTCCAAAATGGTATATGATGGGCTACCACCTCTCAGAGTAAAGTTGAAAACACGGACAATTTTATTTTTAAATACTGTAATTTGAGGACAGCACTTTTTTTGCTTGAACATGAGCAACTGAAATTTATAGAGTTGTGTTCCTTTAATTGTTTTTATCAGTAGAAGCCAAGATGGCGGAATCCGAAAACAATAGTAGTAATGAAAATTTGGGAATCTAAATTTTGAGATTGCTGGTTCGGTTCCATCGCGGAAAGTTTTTAATTTGACCATGGAGTAGGCCTGATTCCAAAATGGTATGACATGTTGGACTATAGCCTCTAGGAGTAAAGTGGAAAAGGTGTGACACTGACGCAATTATATTGGCATTTTTTATACAGAAGATGCGTTAGTGAGAGTTGTGTCCCTTTAATTGAAAAAGTATGACGCACTGAACAATTACATTGGCATTTATTATATAGATGATCTAACAAATGTTCTAACAAATCTTATTCACTGAGTAGCATTTTTTGTAATCTTTTAAAATTTTGAAATATTGTATGCATTAAAAATTGCATATTTTGCCTGTGGTGATTCATAATTAGAATTTTGGTTTAAGTATATCTTCCTTTCAATATACCTAATACAAAAAAAAATATCACCTTCTTGAAATTTATTATATAAATTAGGCTGTTCGTAAAGTACTGACGATGTAACAGAACGGACTGAAATAAATGCAAACTATTTACAATATTCGGACTATTGTCCTCGTGTTTGTCGCCATATTTGTGCAGTGTATACTGATACAGTGAGAACTCGTTGTACGATCTCGATTGGAATGTCAAACTGAAGCCTTTATTTCGCTCACTGTGTCATATATTTCCACGTGCCATGTGTAATAGATGCCATTTATCAGTTAATTCCCTTCTCCACTGCCTTAAACTGATAGTGAACTCAGACTCTTTGGGTCTTGTCATTTGATCTTAACCAACGCCTTTATCCATGTGTCCTTGTATGAATTTCTGGGTATTATAAACCTAATGTCTCAGCAAACATTTTTTTACAAGTGCTCATATTGCAAATTTTACTGTTATCATTTCATTTTTTTTTTTTACCAGAGCTCATATTGCAATTTTTGTTGTTATTATCGCTTTTCCCTGACACTTCTTATTACTGGTTAAATAGTGTACACAATACCTAATCTCAGAAATATAGACAGATACTGAAATAAATGCAAGTTATTTTTTTCGATATTTTTATACAGATTATAATCCTCTAACGTGAAGGTATATATTAGAGCCCAGTTTAAAGATCACTGGTTTTTTTCAGAAAATTATTTGAAAGACTGTATTCAATGTCTTTGTTTCTGAATGTTCTGCTACTTAGGAAATGTTCTTAAATCTGCTTATAGTAGAACTACCCATCTAAACGATCTTATGTTTTTTCTCGGATTTGTTTTACATAGTGTGTTAGTGCAAGCTGTACGAAAACTATAACTCTTTTTCTGTTTCCTAAAGCTGGATTATTTCGATACAACGCTTTGTTTACCGACCAGTTTGCAAATAATAAACATATGCAGTTATAGTATTAGATTTTGCAACTGCTCCTAATGAACATCTTTCTAATTCAATCAGGCAAAAATCAAAGAGTTGTATGGCTGGAGATTTAATTTTTGTGTTAGCAGTGATTTCTCATTTTGTGATTATCACACTCTTTTTGTTTGTTTGTTTTTTTTTTCTATTCAGCTGATCAGCACCTGGAAAACGCAATGCATAAATAAATGATCGGTATTCCTAGTTAAAGCAAAAACGGCTGCAAATGGTGGAACTTTGTGTTTGGCCCACAAGCGAAAACTCATGAGAAAGCCAAATCCGTCTTTGCAGGTTTTACCAATTCGTTTGAGAAGTTCGTTGAAAGTTGAAAATGACATTAAGTTTTGTGTCAAATCTCCGAGGTTCTTTCGTAAACCCAGTTCAATAGTCTTTTTGACAAGTACTGTATTCAGAGTGGGTTTTCATCAGGAGCGCTGCTTGTTCGATACGTCGCGATTACCATTTGCGAAACATCGTAAACATTAACTGACATGCACGGGTTGTCACTGTATGCACAAATATACGCAGGTGCATGATCTCTCAATATCGAAGGACGACAAACCACCTTAAACCGTTCAGGAATGGAGCGTCAGAATGCGGTCTGGGTTTCATGTCGTCAATAACCCAAGTATTTGTCTATATTTCAGAGATGAGGTATTATTTACACTATTTATATTATTCGGACTGGGATCAAAATAATATGAGAGTATAAAAATATATTTTTATAGTAAAAATACGAGCAATAATTTTTTGAAAAAAAAAATAGCAATAATACATTTGACTCTCGATACAAACCTTCTTTACAAAAATACGTTTATGAAACCTGATCTACCAACTGATTTCTTACAAAAAATTCTATTCATACGAACCTATCCTAAAAAAAAAAAATTAACTTACATTTATATTTATGTCCTACCTGATAACATTTAATTACTTTCTGTAAACGAAAATAAAATCCGACTACTGGGTGCAAAGGTTAAACAGTAGTAAGTAAACGTTGACTAAATCGGCTTTGTGCATC